CTTTAAAGTAGAGACACTACATACTGATATACACCTGAACATCAGCAGGAGAGGACTCTTTAAAGTAGAGACACTACATATACACCTGAACATCAGCAGGAGAGGACTCTTTAAAGTAGAGACACTGCATACTGGTATACACCTGAACATCAGCAGGAGAGGACTCTTGAAAGTAGAGACACTACATACTGATATACACCTGAACATCAGCAGGAGAGGACTATTTAGTAGAGACACAACATACTGATATACACCTGAACATCAGCAGGAGAGGAATCTTTAAAGTAGAGACACTACATATACACCTGAACATCAGCAGGAGAGGACTCTTTAAAGTAGAGACACTACATACTGATATACACCTGAACATCAGCAGGAGAGGACTCTTTAAAGTAGAGACACTACATACTGATATACACCTGAACATCAGCAGGAGAGGACTATTTAGTAGAGACACAACATACTGATATACACCTGAACATCAGCAGGAGAGGACTCTTTAAAGTAGAGACACTACATATACACCTGAACATCAGCAGGAGAGGACTCTTTAAAGTAGAGACACTGCATACTGGTATACACCTGAACATCAGCAGGAGAGGACTCTTTAAAGTAGAGACACTACATACTGATATACACCTGAACATCAGCAGGAGAGGACTCTTTAAAGTGCTGCATAACTTATTCTAAATAGCTTCATGTGTACTCCTGTTGGGTTTATAAAACTCCAGAACAAGAATTAACGTGCAACAATTGTTTTCCTTGTGTTGATAAAATGATCAAATGAACCGAACGACAGGTGTGAATCAATGATGCTGGACCGTGGATGATTTAAAATAAAAATATACATTTCAATGCTTTTAGAACTATTTATTTTTGAAACCGTGCTGTCTTGTGATAACCTGGCACCCGCATCAACCACAATGCAACCCTACCAGCAACAATTCTGGTGGAGTTGTGGGTGTCATGCTGGTAGCAGCTAATAGATGTCCATTTAGCCTCCAGCTGAGAGAAGCGGGTCTACAGCAGTCTGGTGAACTTTCTTACTCCACACTTATTTCTTCATGTTTCAGACTGAAGTCTTCAGACTGACAGCACACACAAGGCCTTACTTGTAGCTGGGAGATGGTGAGGGGGTAGCGGTAGAGGATCCAGGTCACATTTTCACTACAGGGTGGAGTGGTTAGAGATCCTTCATACACCCAGTAGTCTCTCAGCAAAGGGTCTGAGGGAGGATTCAAAGCGTGTCAGTGAAAGCTGCCCATAGAAACAGGCAGGTATAAGAAAACATGGCCGCCAAAAAGAAGCGGTGATGCCAGCAGTGTGGATGAACTGGAGAGTTCTAGTTCATGTTCAAAAAGCATATTGTGTCCTTGTAAAGAAAATATGTTATTCTTGATTTTGTTCAAATTGTTTAGGAACATAACAGTACATTTCAAATATATATTTATGTATAGATGTCCAAAGCAGCATTTACTCTCATTGTACTAAACAATCACCGTTCCTGAAATGACGAGATCATCTCACATAATGCACACTGATCAGATGGTCCAGTCAAAGGCTGGTAGAGTGGGTGCTTCACTGCATACTTTGCATTCTTTTTATATTATATCATATAGGGGATTATGATGGTCCATTTGATTGAATTAGGCCAGGTTGGTATAATAGCAGATTCATTGGGCTCTGCGGCCAAACCAATCCATGATTAAACCATGTGTGAGCTCTCTCTAATCGTCTGTCTGTCTGTCCTGTTTCTGCATATGCAAAGTCAAACAAACTGGTGACGTATAATAGAGGTGTAACTGAGCGTTCTGTCAACAGTGACTGACTGAACTCAAACGCTCCACAAGGTCAACCAAACAAGAGCCAAATGCAATATTTGCAGGAAGGACCTCACGCACAGGGAGGAACCTGAGTCCTGCTTCAATATGTATTTATCTGTTCATGTTTGAGTCTGATTACTTTAGATTGAGATAAGTCAGGACAGTCATATCTGAGCTTTGCTGCTGCTTAATAAAAACATAATGTTTTCACCAAAAGATTCAGTAAGGGATTCGAAAGAGTTTGATAAACAGATTCCTATCTGGGTTCAAAAAGCCAATCATTTTTACCCATAATTGCAAAGTATTTTATAATGGATAATTATATTGTTATGTTGCAATTTTTCACTATTGCTGGCCATTTTTTTGCAATTATCATAGTCTATAATAAGTCCAATAGTCTATAATGTGATTAAAGTTTTTTTTAGAGTATTATAAAATGTTTTGCAGTGTTTTATGTGTTGTTCTTTTATTATTATTTTAACTTTATTTAATTTAAACAATAATCACTAAATTTACTTATCATCCCATTGTAATGTTTCACAACCATTACAATTATAAAAACATTAAGATCCTTGCAAAAACATCTTTAGTAAATGAGCAGTGATTATGATGTAATATAATACATATAAAGTAGGAGACACAGAGCTTATTGCGGCTCATTATCAGTACGTTTATAACCCATTATGGACATAAGAGTCACCAAGGGTTGCAATCTTTCCTCTCACTTGAACTGATAACACTAGTAATACAGTGTAAGCTGGCATAAAGAATGAAAGAGTGGACAGAATGATGGTGATCCAGCAGGCTACAACTATAGCTATATTATAATATGTTGTTCTTTCAGAATGTCTAATATATTGATTATACTTTGAAATCAGGTGTGTTTCTGCTCACCAGGTAACAGAGTGTTGGGGTTGAAGCAGGGGATGATCTTGCTCTTCCCCTGATGGTAACAACAGAATGATTTTATTAATGCATAGTTGGTGAAGTGATTATTAATCATCTGATCTGATGATGTGATGAGACCCCTGCTCACCTTGTACTGCAGGTCCTGCAGAACCTCGGTGATGGCCTTCAGACCCAGGTGCTCCTTACCGATCTGATGGAACAAAATGTGAGGGTTCAGAGGCCTGAGACTTATCAATGTGCCTTCTGAAGATGACAATAACAGAGGTAAAGACTTCAAATTTCAAGGAACATTTAAGTTTATATCTGCTGTATCCGTACAGGAAGTAAACAGGAAATGGAACCCTAAGGAGCTGTGAAGTAGATGTGTTAAATCTGTTGATTTGGGGGGTCAGGGCGGTCTGCGGGGGGAGAGGGGGTGTCTACTAACTGAAACGTTGACTTTAATTAACTGTAATTTGTCAACAAAATACACATAACTGTATTAGGTTAGTTGAAAGCAATCATAATAAGTTTAAATAAAAAATATTAGGTTAAACTTAATATTATTGCTTTCTACAAACCTAATGTGTAATTTGTTGACAAAATAAAGTTGATTAAAGTCAGCGTTTCAGTTTTTTAATGCAGATATCTCTCAAAGTGAAGTTTTTGGTTATATTAAAGTGGGGGAAATGTTACCACCAGTTTTCTTAGCAGGGGATTTGAATAGGGAAGTCAAGCCAGAGTTTCAAAGGAATTTCAGCACATGGTGTTTTCCAACAATTCTGGATGAAGCTGTAAGTCATTTAGAAAAACAAACCTCACAATCCCAGGAAGGAAAAACACGTTAAGGGCACCGACGTGCCAAAGGAGGCAATATTTGTGTAACTGAGGGCAATGCAAGGTCAAATGCAGCGCCAATACTTTCAAACGATTCAAAATCGTTTCACCAAAAAGCACACACACTGCTCCTAACGTTTACTCTGAGTTTATTTATTGGCTGAAGCTGTAGGTGTAGTGTTCAGTTTTTGTTGAAGCACTTTATAGCAGTTGATTAGCTTTTTAAGGCTGTTAATTAAAATATGTTGTACTGTCATTTATTCTACCCTTATTGATGAAATATCAGAAGGACAAATAAACTGTTAGATGATTTTATTATGGGAGTCTGCACACTGTAAAGCCCCAAAGCAATACATTTGTTTGTCTTTATGGCATTCAAACGTTCAATCTGTAAATTCTTCTTCATGCTAGAGCTGGTGATAATGACAGAATATATATAAGTAGGTAAAGCCAAGTATAGAGGAAGCTGGTTGTAAGAGAGGGGTCACCTTTTTTGAACCACGATGTAAACATGTTTATTTCTGCTGTAAAGTTGGTCATTTTAACATGGGGGTCTATGGAAATTGCTCCCTTCTGCAGACTGCTCCTACTGGCCACTAGATGAACTGCAGTTTGAGGCACTTCCTTATTGGCCTCCCGTCTCTGCCCCAGAGTTTGCTGCTTGGTGCAAACGCGTTACAACGGCCTAAAGAACCTTCATTAAGACAAACGAGCTACACTATCAAAAACAATGCAAGTGAAGAAACATCTTCGATAACACATGCCCAGAGTTTACAAAAGATGCAGCATAAAAATAAATGCATACAATTTCTTTTTTACATGCAGCTTTTTTAAATTGCAGTGATTCCTTTATGCAGATTTTTTTTGTTGCCGCATTTTTGAAAGTGTAACAGTGTTTCTCGACTCGGTCCGCTGTAGCGTGTTTGCCCTTGTCGGCCTCCACACAATGGGGATATCTCCTCTGATCCTTGATGTGAAAGATTACCTGCACAAACAGAGCTATGATGACGACTCCATTCTTCTTCCCAAGAGCATCCTCCAGAGAGTTGAACAGAGTGCTGTTCCAGTGAATCAGATGGAGCTGCGCACACACACACACACACACACACACACACACACACACACACACACACACACACACACACACACACACACACACACACACACACACACACACACACA